ATTAGATAAAATGTTATTTTTAGTTTATAAACTTTTAGTTTTGAACATTTTTTTAATCCTTGAATTATTTTTTATATTTTTTTCATCCACAAAGTACTAAAAATGCATTTTTTTTAGTCATTTCATTAATTTGTTAAATCTGTCCATATATGTACATTTTTAATTTCTAAATTTATAAATTTAAAAACTAAAAATGTACTTATATTATAAGTTTAGAAACTAAAGATATGTATATATAGATAAATTTAACAAGCTAACAAACAAAATGACTAAAAATTGCATTTTTCATACTAAAAGGATGAAAAGTTTGCAAAAAATAGTTTAGGAACAACAAATGTTTAAAATTGAAAGTTCAAGGACTATAAATGGCACTTAACCGCTATTTTAAGACTAGTTTGAAATGTTATGATGAAAATGATACTTAGAGTTAGAGTAATGTTTGGACTCAGTTATGCATGCAAGTAATGTAATTGATCTACACGCATGTGATATTTGCTATTGCTGCAGTTTAAAGAAATGGAATTTGGGACCTGATGAACACATGTTCCTAAACTGTAAAGTATGGAAATGCTGCAAAGTGTGCCATTTATACTTTAATAAGGCAATTACAACCACCCCTACAACCAACTCTAACATTTTGAACGCAAGAAGATATTACTAAAAGTTGATTGAGTTGTCCACAATTGCTATATGTTAATTGAAGAATAAAACAGTCATTGACTAATCTTCTCATTAAAACTAGAGTACGATTTGATTGTAAAATTAAAATGGATAGCTCTTTTTTAAATAAAAGATTCAAATACTCTTTTTTATACAATAAAATAAATGCATCAAGAAAAATAAGTGGCTTGCAGAATTAAGTACTTGATAATATTTCATGTCACACATGAGTTTGAAAATTGAAATAAATCAATTTTAGAACTGAAAAATTCATTTTTGTGTGTCAAATCAACAATGTGGGAACTTGGTAGCATGAATCCAAACAATTATTATGAGTGCACCATTACAACCTACAAGGAAATAAGAAAGCATCATCAATAGATGTAGCTCTATGTAAGAGATGTATGTACCTCTGTATGAAAGGTACATGAGACAACTCAGACAAGTGAAGATGATGGGAGTCGAAGGCACTCTCACCTCAAAATCCACTTCACTGTTCTCTTTCAGAATTACAAGACCAATACCGCTTTCTTCCAAATCTTAAGCATTCTGCAACCATAAGAGCAACAAATGTTAAAGGTGCAGATGGACGAGCCAGTCATATGGATAAGACAAGGGTTTTTAACAAGAAATAGGCAAGGAAAAAAATAATGCTTTCTCTCATGCATTCTATGGAATGAGAAAGATATAATATATTTATATAGAAAGATTTCCAAGATTACGCCTAAAATGATAATTAAGTATGAACACAAGATCCTCTTCAACACAGAAATGTCACCTAAATCCCAACACTTTTAGAACCATTAATTAAAATAATCTAATAGGTAGCAGAAAAAATTAATTAACATAAATCTTCTTCAGTGATCTGTCTTCCTTAGAACCATTAAGCATTGCCTTTTTTGAAAGAACACAATGAAAGGTAAAAGAAAAAATTGCAGCAAAAATGTCAATTTATGACTGAAAATGCTTTTCCCTGATTTGTAAAGCAAATTAAAAGAAAAGAGTTTCATTAAATTATCATGGCCTTCCACCCTGGTGCATTTGTCATTTCTAGATTTTGTCATTAACAAGGGAGAAGCAGACACAATTTTTCTAAAAAATGAAAATCATAATGAAGGAGATACTACTTTAGTAAACTGTTATTTCAGTCTTTCGGATTGGATGATTGATCCTACTGCTTGTCTTTTAGTAAACTGTAGAGGAAAGTAGTATTGACCCGAAAGATAGGATTAACATTGAAAGGCTGATTCTTGTATTTGTAGCAAGGGTCGGAGTACTCCTTGTACTCAGTATTTTCATCAATGAATATATCATTTGCTGTTCAAAAAAAAATAATAATAATGAAAGAGATACTTTAATTAATTTGAACGTCTTTAATTGGATAATTAAGGAGAAGAAAAATCTTTAAAAAGTAAAAAAACACCAGGGAGCATTCAGAGTAATGCATACCTTTTCCTTGAACACCCGTTGTACGGTGCAGTTAAGGTTGCCCTCCCCGCGTCCTTCTTCCCCATAATATTCTTTCAATTTGGCCCGTTTTGGTGTGCTTTGTTCTCCATTGGAGAAAATCTGCATATTTGGATAGTCACTAACAATATATGACAACTTCCAAATCTGGGAATTCAAAGTTGCAAACCCCTGAACAGAATCTTGCTAGTCTTGGTAGACCTTCGAGTTGCAAATACTCCAGCTTGGTGAAAATAATGCCATCCTTCACATCATCATCCAAGCATACCACAATTTCCTCTCTCGTCTCACATTTGGTTACTTGCATTGTTTTGAGTTGCACCAGGCTTTTTGCAGTTGAGTATCTCACTGAATTGACAAGTCCATGACACTTGGATGCTTCCAAAGTCTGCAAATTGTTGAAATGTACATTGGATGGCACTAAATTCCTCAATCTGCTACATTCTTGAACATCTAGAGTTTTTAGGCTACTAAAAATTGATTCAATTTGGGATTCTTCCTTCCAAAGATGTGTTAGCTCATGGAGTCTGTACAGCCATAGTTTGCATGATGGAGTGCGTCCACATGCACAAGGTTTTTCCTCAACATCAACTTCTTCACATTTGAATACTTTATTGATGAAAGAATTCCTCACAAAAAGCTTTTTGTATGATAAATTAATTAACAAATTAAAATAAAATTTAACAGCATAAGATTAATATTGTTTTAGGAAAATAAAATGACATTCTTCACTGGTAGATTGCTTAACAACTTGACAATCACATGTCGCTGCTAGTTGCATATTTAGAATCAGCTTCGGTTCGTTTTCAGTTTTGCCTTACTGTCGTAGGAAATTGAAATGTGGAGAATTATTTAATTAGTGCACCTATCCTCCTCCGGCTATTACGCCTATGGAGGAAATGCACGTATTATTGAGTGAGAAATATATATATATATATATATA